CGGGTGGCCCACCAGGGCTTGCCCGGGGAGGGGCCGGGCTGCTCCCATCTGCCCCCGACCCTGCCGGCCTGGGACGTCTGACGCGGTCCCCACTGCACACTGGAGTGGAGTTAGAAGAGGGTGCCAGGACGTTTCCTTGCCCCACAGGCGGGCTGGGCTGGTTCAGTCTTAGGCCGGTGAGGGGAAGAGGAAGGAGCGAAGTTCCCCAAGTTCCCCAAACCCTCCTGCGTGGTGGACTGGACAACCATCATCTCGCTAAAGGCTTTGCGAATGGGCTTTTAAATTTTTTGTTTTGGGGATTGAACCTAGGACCTTCGCACTGAGCTGCATTTTCAGTCCTTTTTGGTCCTTTTAAAGGATTTGTTATGTTTTTGAGACAAGGTCTCGCTATGTAGTTCAGCCTAGCCTTGAATTCACTATGTAGCCCAAGCTGGCATCAAACTCGTGATGTTCGTTCTGTCTTAGCCTCCCCTGTGCTCGGATTACAGCCTTGCACCACCACACCCAGCTCCTTTTAAAGTTTGAAGCAGGGTCTCACTAAGGAAGTCAGTACATTGCCAGAGCTGGCTGCAAACTTGGGATCCTCTTGCTTCAGCCTCCTAGAGTGCTGGTATAACAGGTGTGTGTCACCAGCTTGTAAATAAACTGTTATCCTCCTTCCACAGATGCAAAAACTAAGACCCCTAAGAGGAGAGGTGACTAGCCCAAGGTCTCTCAGCTGGAGATTTTACTTCCGCTGCTGACTGCAAAAGCAGTGAAATGTGTAAATGGCAATCAGGCAACAGAGAAGCAGGAAGGAACTCTGACCTGTGGTTTGATGCTGTGAACCTGCATCTTTGGGGTACCCCTATGAGCTGTGTGGCTGAAGCCACTCCCCTAACCCTTTCCTAGGAGGACAACCTGTGCCCCTCCCACCAAGCTAGAATGTGTTGGTCTGTTCCAAGGTGTTTTTCCGGCCATTCTCTCCCACGACAGCGCAGCTGAGCAGCCTCAGGAGCCCTGGGAGCCTGTTCCAGTTGCAGGCATTCTGAGTCCAGGGAAGGGAGGAGGAACTCTCTGCCACCTCCATCACCCAGACCCGGTCAGAACTTACAGTGCCACAGGCAGCTGAGAGGCCAAAGGAGGCTGTCTGTTAACATATGGGCAAGGGGTTGGGGAACGCACAGCACCTACTTCCAGCCCTTGGAAATGCATCGGCTCACAGGGGCTGCCTTACAAAGCCTTCTGCAAGGCTTCTCCTCCCTGCTTACTGAGAGGGAGAAGTTGGCCAACTAAAGCTGTAGCTGGGAGACCTTTGGGGACTTCTGAAGGACAAACATTAACCACCACCTCCCCACCAGCGAGGATGACTCATGGACAGGGGAGCAGGGAGCAGGAGATCTGTTTCTGTGGCTCTCACCTACAGCACCCCAAGAGTGAGGCAAACTTCAGGAGGTGGGAGGGATGGGGTTTCCTCTGGTGATTCTTCCTTAGCCCCAATAATCTCTAGCTAACTGGACAGATTTCCTTCACCTCCTCTACTTCTATTACTAGAAATTTAGTAGATAAAAGAGGAAGAAACATTTCCAGGAGTCAGGTCTCTGTGGCTGTGATAGTTTCTTTAGTCAACATACAATGACTTGACCCTGCTTATTCCACTCTAAGATTTGGGTAGAGGGGCGGAAGAAAATGCATGGCCATTCTAGTGTCCAAGCATGTCCCAGACACTGTGTCATTTGATTCACTCAAGTTGAGATGGAAGATGTTGCTATCTTGCTAAGAAGCTGTGGCCCAAAATGGCCAGGGTCATGGGGCCATAGAAGGGTGGGATTTGGATGAGAACTGGGCTTCTAGAGCCGGAGATTTGGCTCAGTGGTTCAGCCACCTGCCTCGCAAGTTCAAGGGCCTGAGTTTGATCCCCTCACCAAAAAAAGAAAAAGAACTGGGTGTCTGATTGTTCTGGCCACACTGCATTCTGTATGTCAGGGAAGGTGGGCTTGGCAAGGAACAACTCTGGAAATTCCCCAAACGTTTTCTGCCTAACATGAAGCCAAAAGCCAGTATCATGGTAACCAAGCTCTTGGGCTGGAAAATGGGAGTCTATTGTGTTTGCTCTTGTAATTTCTGGCCTGAGCTGCCCTGTGCATGATGCTTGTACCCGTGTAATGACAGGCTGCCAAGGTTCCTCACAACTCTGGCCCAGGAGTCTGGGAGGGATGGATGATGGTCTCAGGCTGGGTGTGTCAGTGATCACATGTGATCCCCTTCTCTGGTTCTGTATCTGTGTCCTGTGTCACACAGTCCTGAGTATCGCTGGCTGTTTACGAATATTTCTGACTCTAGGCTCTAAAAATAGGCCAAAGGGCCATGGCAGACTCCTAATGCCCATCCCTGTGGCTGGGAGCTGTCTGAGATCAACTCTCCCCTGGGACGTTCCTTCTCTTTTAGACTGGCCTCCCCTCTACAATATCACAACCTTTATAGAAGGAAGGGGACCAAGGTACTCTGCAAACAATCTTTCCCTCTCAACCCCTTTGCATTATTAACCTCCCAAAGATGCCTGGCTCTCAGAGGTCATGACTGCCAGAAACCCCCCAGCGGACACAATTCATAGATGTTGCTGCTATTTTTACTTCTTAAAAAGAAAAATTGGAAGCTATGCCTGCCTGTTCCAAGACTGGTCTGAATGGTGACAGATGACTTGATGCTGTCATGAAGTGGTGAGGCCCTGTGGGGGGATAGGAAGCTTGTTTCTTTGTGTATGTGATAATATACACGCAACATAAAATTTGCCATTTGAAGTGATAGTTCAGAGGCTTTAAACACATTCACGTTGTTGTGTAACCATTATGGCTCCCCATTCCCAGAACATTTTCGTCATCTCAAATTGTAGCTCTGGGCCTATTAAAGAGCACCCCCCCATACCTCTTCTCCCAGCCCCAAGTAACCATCATTCTACTTTCTGTACTTGACCCCTCTAGGTACTTCAAACAAGTAGAATCCTATTTATCTCTTGTGACTGTTCTTTCTTTCACTTAGCGTAGTGGTTTCAAGGTTCAGCCATGTTGTAGCCTGTGTCAGAAGTTCCTTCCTTTTTAAAGGCTGAATAGTATTCCATTGCCCATATATTTCACTTTTTTTCTCTTCATTTGTCCTTCAATGGGCATTTGCTTTGTTTCCACCTTTTGGCTACGGTGATTAATGCATAGCGCTTCTAGATAATGAAAGTCATGCCTGCAAATAGTGCCTATGAGAGTCCCGAGGACAAAAACCCCAAGATCTCTCCAACTTGGTATTTACAGGTGACAGAGCAGAGGCTCCTAGGACAGCCATGATCTGTCTCACACTCTGCCTGCCTCAGCTGCTCCACACTCCTTCCCACCAGGCCCAGTTTCTTGACTAGAGCAGCTAAAAAACTGTGTCCTCCACCCACAGGGTGCTTTTATGAAGCTCTTTTTGTAATGATAGCTTTATTACCCTCGCTGGATTCCTGTGTCCCGACACCAGGGCCCTGTTGGGAGCCTCGTACAGCCACGGGCCTCAAGGACAGCCTGCATGGGCCTCCCCCGATGTGCCACCCTCCGCCTCTGGCTAGGCCAGGTCTCCCGAGGTGACTGCCCTCTCCCAGGCAGAGAGTTCGGGGATGAACCGAGTGTGTGATGGGGAAGAGCCAGCGGCCTGTTGACACTGAGCACCTCCACCCAGAGGGGCTCTTGGAGGGACTCCGTGTCCTGTGGTGCCACGTGCAACAACAGCAGCCATTCTCATTGCGGGTCTGCACGGATGAATGGGCTCTTGACTTCCTCAGGACCGTGTGACGCTCAGCTGACCAACGTGAGCTAGAGGCCGGGGCCACTCGGGCCACAAACCACAGTCTGCCCAGCCCGGGCTGCGGGCTTTCTCCTGGAGGACGCACTGAGTTGACTCAGGTTGGAATGGAGGGCAGAGCTGGCAGAGGCGGACCAGAGCCCCCTATCATTAGCCTACTGTGTATTCATCGTCAGCTCCAGATGGGAGCCAAGCCTGGGGCTGCAGGGACAAGGCATAGCTATTAAGCTCTATTCCTTTCTGCATCCATTTCCTCAGCTCACCTCCCCGAGGTGCCACTGAGGAAAGATCGATGAGAAAGCGGTGACCCAAATAGACTTCATTACAAGTAACTGATGTTGCATCAAAACAGGTTCCCTGTTGAAAGACCCAATTTCTGTTGGGTTTTTTTCTCTCTGTACAAAAGCACTACATAATCATTGTGGAAATTTTACAAAATTTAGATAAGTAAAGATGAGAAAATTAGAGACACCGAAGTCCTATCAAAGACACCTAGTCACTTTCTATGTGCACATAGGTATGAGATTTTTGTAACAGCTTTATAATTTGTGTAGAAAATTCACCCATCATAAGTGTCTGTCCAGTAAGTTTTAGCAGTTGCATGCATTGTAGAACCACTGTGATACTCAAGAAATGGCCATCAGCCCCAACAATTCCCTTGGGTCATTTTATAGCCAATCCTTTCTCCTCACTCTCTATCCCAGAAAAATCACCAGCTGATTTCTGAATGCTGTGTACATAAGATCAGACAGGGGAGAGCCTTTCGATTCTGGCTTCTTTTTACTCAGCAGTATGTTTTTGAGGTTCCTTCATATTGCAGAATTTATCAATCCTTTCTTTTTATTGTGGAGTAGTATTCCATTGTATATATGGGTGTAAAGACATTTTGTTTATCCATTCATCACTTGGTAGTCATCAGAGATATTACCAGTTGTTGACTGTTTTGAATAATGCCACTATGAATATTCATATACAAGTATTTCTATATATACACAGGCTTTTTTTCCCCCACATAGGCTTTCAATTCGTTTAGGTAAGAGCCTAGGAGTGAGGCTGCTGGATTACATGGTAAGAATATATAAGAGATTGCCAAGGTGTTTTCCAAAGTGTCGAATCATTTTTCAAAGTGAAAGTTTCTATTGTTCTGCATCCTTGTCAACACTTAGTGATATCTATCTTGATGACTCATGATGCTGGATATTTTTTCATGTGCTTATTGGTTATTCTTACATCTTTTATTATAAAGTGTTTTCTTTTTCTTTTTTTGGAGACAGAGTTGCACTATATAGTTGAGACTGACCTGGAACTCACTATATAGCCCAGGCTGATCTCGAACTCAGCGATCCTCCTTCCTCAGCTTCCCGAGCGCTGGGATTACAGGCGTGCGCCACCATGCCCGGCATATTATTAAGTGTTTTCAAAGCTATTTTTTAAAGTAGGGTTATATTTATAGAGACTTTATCCCCCAAATTTGCCCTAAATCTAAGAGGCACTTAGAAGATTTAAAAACCCACCAAGAATGGGTTTAACCAAGGATGGTGGCATGCATCTGTAATCTAGCTACTCAGGAGGCTGAGACCAGAGGACCTCAAGTTCAAGGCTAGCGTGTACCATTAATGAGATCTTTTATCAAAATAATAAAGAAGGATTGAGGATGTAGCTCAGTGCTCCCTGTTTCTAATCCCCAGTACTGGGGTGGATGGAAGAATTTAAAGCAAGATAAGAGGATAGTGTGATAGAGGTGGGAATTGCCTAAGGAGGTGATATTTGAGTGCAGATATAAATGAAGTGAGAGGGAGCCCTGTAAATAGGTAGGGAAAGAACAAGCTGGACAGAGCATCAAATGTAAAGGCCCTGAGGTAGGAGTGGGATCAATGAAAAAGCAATAACTGTATACTCCAATGTTATAAAACTCCAATACTTTTATTTTTAGTCAACTAAAAACGTTTATTCAGTGCCTATTAAAAGCCAGGCATGGGGTCGGGGATTTAGCACCGTTGCACCATGCCTGCCTTTTGATCCCCAATACCAAAAA